CCCCCCCCGGGTGCGCCCGCGAGCGCGACCCGCGTTCCGGATTCGCGGGTCCGTGTGTCCGTGCGCAGCGTCCTACGGAAATCTCTCGCGTTATATCGCGCGCACGCGTTAAACGATAAATATCGATTGTTCGCGGACCGTGTAAAAACTTTCGCACACCCCGGGGACGGGGGTGGCGAATCGTTCGCGTCATGTGACTGCCGGCGCGCGCGAACGGTGGCGCCCCGCGGCCGCCGTATGGGGGTTTTTTGTTTTTTGTTTTTTTTTTTGTTTACCGCGCGCGATGATCGACGGTCCGCGTCGTCCTCGGAGGAGCAGGTAACGCGATAATTGTATTATTATTATTATTATTTTTTTTTTCCCCGGGTCGTCCCGTTTCCGCAATCTGCCGCGTACGATTATCGAAAACACACCGCAGCACGGTAATCGCGATATTATCGTCATCGTCGTTGTAATTTCGTTGCGACGCCTTTGTGCTACCGTGCACTGCCCGCCCGCGTTTTTGACACCTCCGGCATCGCCGTCCCGGGCCTCGTCGCGCGCGCCGTACACCTACCGGGCGCGATCGCGACAGATGGTCCAGGGATAATTGAAAACGAGAGACGGCGATGATGGTTTCGCGCCGCGAAAAAGAACAAAAAACAAAACACAAAACAAAAACAGACGCGAAACAATCCCCCCGTGACGCGATTCTCTAATCTAATAGCTCCGGTCGAGGCACTCGAAAAATACGGCGGAATAAACAACAAAAGAAAAACCGCCGAGAAAAAAAGATACCACCGCGATCTCGTGCGCGTGTGCGGGCGCGCCGTCGACGTCGCCGGAAGAAGACCATTAAAAAAATACAAGCGAAATTTCCCCCTCCCCCCCCAACCACCCGCGTGTTTTCATTCGTTTTTTTCACGTCGAAAATATTTATTACATTTTTATTATTTATAAGAACGCGCGCGCGCGTTATACTCGATTAGGTCCGTCGCGATATTTAACGCGGACACACACACACACACACACGCGCGCGCGCACACACTTATCCGCGTTTATTTTATTCCGCGAAAATATTCATATTTTTTCCATAAACTCGTTATAATAATATACGACGTATGTAAAAAATCGCGATGTTTTTCTAATATAATGCCGGCACTTGCGTGTACCATACACGTACTTGACGACGATTTCGATCCGGTAGTCATAAATATTAATAACAACGCAGCTGTGTATGTTAATTTCTCAAAAACCGTCGTCGCGCAACAATATTAATACGATGATTTA